GAGCTGGGAAGGGGCTCAGCCTGGAGAAAAGGAGGCTCAGGGGGGACCTTTTCCCTCTCCACAACTCCCCGAGAGGAGCCAGAAGGGATCGGGATCTGTTCCCTGGGAACAGGGACAGGATGAGAAGGCCTGGCCATGGGGAGGTTCAGGTTGGATTTTGGGAACGATCTCTTCATGTCATTGGAGTTTGGAGCCACCTGGGATGGTGGAAGGAATCAGGATCAGCTCCAAGGTTCATTCCCACCCAATGCATTCCATGATTCCATGGCTTGGTTCAGATGGATGAGGAGCTGTCCCTGCTCCTTGTTTGAATCACCAGCATGGAAATTTAGGGATATCACACAATTAAAAGTGTTCACTGTGGAGATTCCATATGGAAAAGTCTTTGGGAACCCTCAGTGGTATCCCAGGAATTTAAGAGTGATGGTTCCCAAATCTCCTTCTTTCCTATTCCCTTGGAATTGTTCCTCTCTCAGCTTCTCCTTTTTTTCCATCACCTCCACCGAGCCTCAATCTGGGATCTCACCTCTCCCTCTTCCTAAGGAAAACGGGAAGCAAATCCCTTTTCCAGTGAAAACCCGGTCCTGGTGAGTGAGAAATCCGGGGATTTCCTGTCCTTTGCTCCGCAGGCTCATCGGGACGTTCCGGATGGTCCTGCAGAAGGTGGTGGCGGAAGGGCAGCTGGAGGTGACGGACACGCTCATCGATGACAACAATTCCGCCATCCAGGTGGGTCACTGAGGCCAACATTCCCATCATTCCCGGATCCGTGTGTCCGCTGAACCTGTGGGATCAGGGATATCGGTATTTCCTTTGTTCCTTGCCTTGATCCCGTTGCTCCTGCTCTGAAGGGATGAGGCGGCCGGGAATGTCCGGAGGGTGCAAAGAGAAACTGGGATTGGAAACGCGTGGGAAGTTTGGGAAGGGGGAAAAGCAGGGATGGACCTGGTTTGATCTGAGCATGGACAGGGAGAAGCAGAGCGCAGGGTGGAATCACTGAATTCCAGATGGGATTTAGTGGGAAGGGAATTAAATCCGATCCCATTCCAATCCTGACACCTCCCATCATCCCAGGGNGGCCACACTGGGAGATCCAAAGCAGAACCAATCCAAGATTGGGATGGCCAATCCTAAAAAAATCCTGCCCAGTCTGGAGACAGGACCAGGATGGAGTGAAGCCCCACAAATCCATGGATTAGCGGTATCCCAGGCTAGAATTCCCAAAGAAGTGGTGGACCAGCTTCACCATGAACCAGCTCCATCTGCTCCTGGTGCCTCCAGCTGCTCCCCAAGGCTCCCCAGGGATGCCCATTCCTAAAAAATCCTGCCCAAAATGGAAGCAGGACCAGGCTGGAGTGAAGCCCCACAAATCCATGGATTAGCGGTATCCCAGGGTAGAATTCCCAACAATGTGATGGATCAGGGAATGTGTCTCCACCAAAAACCAGCTCCATCTTCTCCTTGTGCCTCCAACTGCTCCCCAAGGCCCCCAGGGATGCTCATTCCTAAAAAAAAAACCCTAAAGTACCTGGAGACAGGACCAGGCTGGAGTGAAGCACCACAAATCCATGGATAAGCAGTATCTCAGGGCAGAATTCCCAACAGAGTGGTGGACCAGCTCCACCAGGAACCAGCTCCATCTACTCCTGGTGCCTCCAGCTGCTCCTCAAGAGACCCCAAGGGTGCCCATTCCTAAAAATACCCTGCCCAGCCTGGAGACATTACCAGGATGGAGTGAAGCCCCACAAATCCATGGATTAGCGGTACCTCAGGGTAGAATTCCCAACAATGTGATGGACCAGGGAATGTGTCTCCACCAAAAACCAGCTCCATCTGCTCCTTGTGCCTCCAACTGCTCCTCAAGGCCCTCCAGGGATGCTCATTCCTAAAAAAAACCAAACCCTAAAGTACCTGGAGACAGGACCAGGCTGGAGTGAAGCCCCACAAATCCATGGATTAGCAGTATCCCAGGGTAGAATTCCCAACAGAGTGGTGGACCAGCTCCACCAGGAACCGGCTCCATCTGCTCCTGGTGCCTCCAGCTGCTCCTCAAGAGACCCCAGGGATGCACATTCCTTAAAAATCCTGCCCAAAATGGAAACAGGACCAGGCTGGAGTGAAGCCCCGCAAATCCATGGATTAGTGGTATTCCAGGGTAGAATTCCCAACAATGTGATGGACCAGGGAATGTGTCCCCACCAAAAACCAACTCCATCTTCTCCTTGTGCCTCCAACTGCTCCCCAAGGCCCCCCAGAGATGCTCATTCCTAAAAAAAACAAACCCTAAAGTACCTGGAGACAGGACCAGGCTGGAGTGAAGCCCCACAAATCCATGGATTAGCAGTATCCCAGGGTAGAATTCCCAAAGAAGAGGTGGACCAGCTTC